CAGATTAAAGTCCGCCACTCTGTTGCTATATCTTCTGTACAGTGAAGCGGACAGTGAAGATTTATTTATATCAAATCTTAAGAAGGAAACTTGGTCTGTTCTTCCTTTCCAAGCTTAAAATACAGTACAGGGTGGTTGTGAGAATAAAGGGGATGGGTGGGGACCAAGTATGCTGCTCAGAGCTCAGTAGAGAATGAGCAGCATACAATAGATTGACAAATACTAATATTTGCCTAAAGTGGCTTACAATCTATGACTAGGCAAGAAGGAACAAGAAAGGAGACAGCATACAGAACAAGAACAGATAAGAGCAGGGCTATTTTGGGGCAGGAACGCACAGGAATGGAGTTCCGGCTGGCTTCAGAGTTGGCCACGCCCACTGCAGCCAAAACCTCTGCGTGCCTGGCTAGAGGGAAGGCCTGGAGAGCGACCCCCGGCGACTCTGAGGTAGGGGGGCCAGGGGGGCCCTGGAAGGATCAGGGAGGCATTTAAATGCCTCCCCGTGCCTTCCCCAACCTGTCCAAGGGCCGGCTTGCCTGGGCTCCCCGCAGCTGCGAAGCGACCGGGCAAGCCAAGGGAAGGCATGGAGGTGTTGCCTGATATACTAATGAGCTGTGATATCAGGGGTGTGGCCTGACATGCTAATGAGTTTCTGCTGTTGGGTGTGGCCTATTATGCTAATGAGTTCCTGCTGGGCTTTTTCTACAAAAAAAGCCCTGGATAAGAGTATGTGTGTCTCATGGTCAAAAAAGTAAATAATGAATATGAACCTGCAGAAACTAGTATAATCAAAAAGATTCCGAACGCATTTCATTATATATATATATATATATACCAGAAGTATAGGAAGGAAATAAAATATTTAGAAGGAACACTGATGTAACTAGATAAGAAGAAGAAGGAGATTGGATTTATACCCCGCCCTTCACTACCCAAAGGTGTCTCAGAGCGGCTTACAAACTCCTTTCCCTTCCCCTCCCCACAACAGACACCCTGTGAGGTAGGTGGGGCTGAGAGAGCTCTGACAGAAACTGCTCTTTTTCAAGGACAGCTCTTATCAGAACTATGGCTTGCCCAAGGCCATCCAGCCAGGTGCAAGTGGAGGAGTGGGGAATCAAACCCGGTTCTCCCAGATTAGAGTCCGCACATTTAACCACTACACCAAACTGGCTCAAGGTGGCAGTTGTCGGCAGATAACAATCCGATATGCTTTCAGTTCCTTGAACTGAATTGTTACAGAAGACTGTACAGTAGAGCCCCATCTCTAAAGTTAAACTGAGCAGAACCAGGGCTATTTTGGGGCAGGAACGGCGTTCCGGCTGGCTCCCAAGTTGGCCACGCCCAGCAGGAACTCATTAGTATAATAGGCCACACCCAACAGCAGAAACTTATTAGGATTGGCTACATTAGGGGTGTGTGGCCTAACATGCAAAAGAGTTCCTGCTACAAAAAAGCCCTGGGTTTTGACAACAAACAAGGTAAACAGAATAAGAAGCAAAAGGTGGGTGTGGCTGGATAACCACACTTCTGGTAACATGGGGGTGCGGCCTAACGTGCTAATGAGCTGTGCTGTCAGGGGTGTGGCCTAATATGCTAATGAGTTTCTACTGTTGGGTGTGGCCTATTATGCTAATGAGTTCCTGCTGGGCTTTTTCTACAAAAAGAGCCCTGAGAACCATACCACTGAAATCAGGAGCCATTTATAAAGTAGTAACATCTTGTTTACATTTGTTCTCTCTCTGCCGACAACTGCCACCTTGGCAAAATCCCCACCAACCCAGCCCAAAACCTTTCCCTATAAACAGTCCTAATTTACGCAACTCTGTAGAACCCCTTAGAAGACAGGCTTTCCTGCAAGATACAAGGTGCCATTAATTACCATCTGGATCACAGGTTTGGTCCTTATAGTTAATGAATAGTATTTGTAAAAACACTTCTCAAGGATTAAAACTGAAAAAAGCATTTCTAACAGGGCAACCCTATGCAGAGTTACACGCCTCCAAGCCCAATAACTTTAATGGACTGATAATGGTGTAACTCTGTTTAGGACTGCACTGTAAAACCACCTCTCAAGGACTAGAACAGTAGACTAATTATTTTAATCAGATAATGTTCTCTTCAGATAATGCTTAAAACTGATACACAGAGAGAGGCCACAAATGCATGCTAACAAACCATCCTTCCGTTTCTTTTTCATTACTAGTGACGCTTTTACTCCTCTGTGCCCACCATTTTAGTGGGGCAAGGCAGACAAAGAAGTCATGTGACACTGTGGTAAATAACTCTTTGGAGGGGGGTGGAAAATAGCTTTGTTAGCAGTTGAACTTCGTAGCCAATCTGTTTCTTCCCCCAGTGACCCCGAAGAGAAGATTTTAAAAATGATGATGATGACTTTATTTCATAGTAAATGTAACTAATTTACAGAATAAAGGCGATTAAAATGTAGGCTGCACAGTAATATTCAGATAATCTCCTGCATAGCCCAACAGCCACAGGGGAAAATAATTCTGCTACTGTGGCACATGTGGGAAGGGAACCTGGGAGGCAATGAACACTAAGCGGTATAAACTGAACAGCTTTAGGGACAAAGGAAAAGCTAGCATGTTGAAAAAAGCATAGCCAGTGTTATCAATACTAAAAAATAACCACTCATTTTTTCCAGTGAATAGGACTAAATAATATACATGGAGGAGAAGGAAGTAAATTATGAATTGCATAGATTAGAAAACTCCCAAAACAATATAAGGCAGCAGGCAATCTATGGCTAAACTTTCCACTGGCCAGGCCCTTGGAGAAGGCATGACTCCTTAACTTTTAATAATTGTGAAGAATATAAAAATGTGTAATGCAGGTGACAGAAATGCTAGACCTGTTAAAAGTACATCTTTTCTTTATATACTTGCTCCAGTCCAAAGGTTAGAAACTGTTATTCTCTACTTTAATAGGTGAAAATTGGTAGTTCGGCTCAGATTTTCATAGAACAAATTTACCCTGAGGATATCATGAATATCTGTGATTTCTGGTTTTGGATGTAAATAGCATAAATATATTTTTGCAGAAAATTGTTCCAGATATGTAACAAGTTTGGGAATACTGTCAGTGTTTCTGTTTTTTGTTTTTTTTTTAAAAGGAGAACTTGAGTTTGCAAACAGTTCTGTGACACTGGAAACTGTGGCGAACAGACTCCCTCCCAATTCCATATTTTAGATCATTACTACATGCATGCTTCCCACTAAAGAATGTGATATCGTTTTGCTTCACATCTTAATTTGCATCTCTATCCTCACAGCAGCACCTAGTTTATATCTCCAGTGGTGTTTTTACTGTTTAGAAATGTACTTTCTATGGGAAACAGGAGGCAACTTTAAGCCAACTGATACTTGCTGTGTCTACTCAGACAATGATTGAATATTTTAAAAACTAACTTAATGGTCATATATCATGCCCAGAACCAAAAGGAGAATGGATGAAAAGATCCCAGTCAACTATGCCTCTTGTAAAGTTCAAGACAGGCTGCTGGGAAACACACAAAACTGGAAACTGCTCAAAGGCAAAAGTCGCCACTGAAAAGAACAGTCCCTGGAAATGTACTGCTAATAAAAGAAATTCAACATAGATGGGCAGGGTGCTAGCAGATTTGTAACAGAGAGGAAGTGACTGCCTCTTTGTCAATGCCAAGTGGATAGGTGATTTGTCTTTGGCATTTTGATGCTTGAAATTCTCTTAAGGAGGAAAGGAGTCGCTGGAGTGCTTTATGCATGAATGAGGCATTCTCAGCGGATATGGGTCATGCTAGTAGATGTACACAGGAAGATTATTTGACTCCAATTCATGCCACTTGATATAATGTGATAAAACATTTGACATGAGAGATAAGTTCCATTTTAATCTTGTAGAATATCAGGGAAGGGGGGGGAGAGAATTAAACAGTAGGAAAGGATGCAGTGGGAAAGGTAAATAGGAAGAAAGGATTTTGATGAGGTTTGCAGAGGAAAAAAAAAAGCTTTTCTGTCCAATGTAAGGCACATGCAAGCGAAATAAGTGAACAAAGCACCAGAAATCTGAAGGCATTCAAATCTGAATGCCAGAATATAATTAAAAAACAAAACAAAACAACAACCCCAAGAGCGCTGAGGGGTGAAAGGAGAGAAAAGGAAGCTGTTTTGCAGCTGCACAAAACACAAACAAGGATCCATCTTAACAAGTGATTGAAACACGAATGCCAAGTGTCTGCTGCAAGTACAAATGCTAGACTGCACAACTGTTCCAAAGAGAGAAAATGGGTTGCACAACAAAAAGCAACAGCAAAGCAGAGAAATCTGTTGACGTGCACTCCATCCTATTCCAAATAAAATCTCGCTTGACACTTAGACCCTATCAGGCACCATAGCAGGTGGTGTCTTCTTTCAAGCTTTACCTACCCCTTAGAACTGTACTAGAGACAAAATTAATCTCACTTTTTCAGATTCTCAAACTGATGATAGTTACTCACCCATAATTTTTAAATTTAAAGTACTACTATTGTACCATGCAACACAAAAATCAGATTAAAAAAAAATCATGGTGATTTTCTTCAATGTAATAATTAAAAGCTGAAGTCTCAAATTCCTTTTAATAATTTTAGTCATTTACCAATCAAGATTCACTCCAAGTCAAATTATATATGTACCCTATCCATTCTTTTCACCCTCCTCCACCTTTTAAAAACAGGAATGAAGGATCAGAACAATGACTAAGACATCCCTAATGAAATCTCAAAACGGTGCTTTTATCCCCAAAACTAAAGAAAGAGGAATTGGGACAAAAGTGGATTTGAGTATAGCATTAGAGCAGACAGATAGCAATCAGAAGAAAAGGTAACGTACATCTATATATCTTTTTAAAAAATCTGTAACTAATAATTTATCTCAAAATGTGACTTATCCTCCTGTCTCATTTTGTCACATTTTGCAGTTTCTCCCCCTTGGGTCTCCAAGGCAGAGGAGGAGGCATTTACTTACATCAAATAACCTTTCTATATACATCTCCTCATTGACCTTATCACGCAGGATGTCCTGAGAGTGGCGAACGAAGGTCACATAGGCGTCAGCAACATCCATCCCTGGTTTCTGTTCAGAGAAAAGGGGGGGGGGAGGAGAGAGGAGGAAAACAGCATGAAAATGGCATCTTCCCAAGACTGTCTATTCATTCAGTTGCAAGGATTCCCCCCACCTATTCTCCCTCACATTGTCACTGGGGATCCTTCTAGTTGATTCCCATGAATGATATAGTCAGGTGTCAGCAATGGGCACAACTGCTTGCTGCTAGGACAATTCACTGTGGAGTGTAGAGCAAAAGATTACTGTCTGTACACTCTTTTCTTTTTCCGCTTTGATGGAAAGCCGCCTGGATGGATAAAGCTTTTCCCTGACACACTTGAGTCAGGATGCTCTCTCTTGCCGATGTTTGGTATTATTGACTTAATTAGCAAAACAGCAAATCATGCTGGGCTCCCCCCACCCTGTGTCATCTACTAGACGCAAATCTTCTTTAATCTAAAGTTAGAAAGCTAACACCCGGCACTTGTCTATTGTTGCCTTTCTTTGGGGGACTGAGCACAAACAGCATCAAAATCACACTTTCTTAAAGCATTTACCGGATGGTATCTTTTCTGTTTCTTGAAATGTTATGCTGTTAGTATTAGTAATAATAGTAATACTGTTGTGGATAAGGGCAAGCCTGAACCAAAGTTAAGCATTTTGACAGTAGGTAATTTATTTCAGTGAGCACCTACCTAATGTTCTCTTCTCACTTCTACTTAAATTTGACTGGCACATTCTCTAGACGCATAGCTATTAAAATCTCTCTCCTCCTCACTGATTCTCCCTGTGGACCTGTATTTTCTTAAATCTGAACTTATGGAGCCTTCAAGATTTGCAGATGAGCATGATACAGTTCACATTTCCCTTCTAGGAAGCAAGTGGTGGAGATAATTTGGGAGACAATAACCACTAAATAAGTTCACACTCCTTGATATGTTGGAATCGAACTTATCTCAAAGGAAACCCATTAAAATGCTGAAAAAAAGAGTCATTATGAAAGCTGCCACACAAATCTTAAATGTCTGTGGCACATTGGAAGTTTCTTAATAATGGGTGTCATTACTTTTATTACTGTGATTTACTGCAGATCACAAAGTATCATTTCTGTATGAGATGTGATTGTCAGCCACTGTAAATTGAAGTTAGTTAACACTTCTGTGTAATTTCCAGGGTGAAAATGAGGACAGTTTGAGAAGCAGTAGGAAGGTAGTTTATACATATATATAAAGAAATACAATTATCAAGCAAAGGACCAATGGTTGGCCCTAGAGATGCCAGTAACATTTTTAACACCTACTGAAACAATGACAAGGTATTAATTTAAAAAACAATGAGGACAATGTAAATGTGGTTGTTATACTTTTCAAGCAATTTCCAGCAAGTAGATTGTGCCAGCTTTATGATACAATAAAAAGTGATGCAATTGCCCAATGCAAAACAATCGTAGTTCTGGACCAAGACAAGGATCCTGTTATACGGTTGGTGTTAAGAGAGCTAAGCTTTGACTTAGAGTGAAAACCTCAAAGCTTTTTGATTTGCATTCAAAAGCGTTTTGCTAGTAACAGGGATAGGATGCGGGGAGCAGAGGGACTAAAGAGACCAACCTAATTGTGAAAATCAGATTGTTGTTTCCCCCCTGTGGGTCACAATGGAGTCTCATTCTTTGGGTTGTTGGGTTCTTACCAAGCATTCCAATCAGAGAAAAGGGCCTCTTTGTGTCCCTTCCTTTGTTAATTTCTTCCACTTTCCCTATATGTACGGGAATTGAAGAAGGTATCTTCTTTGGCAGCTCTGATTGTCCCTATTTCATGCTGGGTGCCTCCAAAATTATGAAGAAAGGGGAGAGTATTGGAACACCTGAGCCAGCTGAATAAGACCTCTTGGGCTGAGCATTTGATGCTCCCCTTTCTGCAGGTAACTCGAGGGCTTGACCAAAGGGAAATGGTCCTTGGCTCTTAACCCATGGCTTTCTGCCTGTGGTCTTGTGGAAGCTGTTCTTGGCACAACCACCACCCATCCAGGATGTCCTAGTGGTGCATTACCTGTTTTAATTTGGGGGGGAAAGGATTCTTGGGATTTGTGGGGTTTTTATTTTATTTGTATTTGGGTATATTTTAGTTTGTATGCTGCTTAGAATTGGAGCCTGCACAATGTGGGAGAAAAGCAAGATAAAATTATTTAAATAATTTCTCATTCAAATTTGTCCACAAATTTTAGAGTTCTGAACTGCCAGATCTTGTTTTCAAAATGAAACCAGTACATTAGGAATCCTCCATTGTTTAATTTTTTTCTTTATCAGTTTTGTATATGTACATATCTAATGCAGGGGTGTGTGGGAGGTAGAGTTCTGAAAGCTGCACATGCTCCAGTTCCAGAAGTAACTTAAGAAATTGTTCCAGGTTAGTGGAATTGAGGAGGAATAGAATGCCATGGAATGCAAGGTACAACAAACTTTCAAAAATATCACAGAATGGGGATAATCTATTATTGGTCACTGATCTTCAGCAGCATTCCCATGAGTCTTTCTGCTTTGGATGACAGTCCCTTCCTCTCCTTTTTGACATCCCTTCAGGTTTATGGAAGGCTGAACAAATTTCACAAGCCCTGTTACAGGTCACTTATCTCTTACCATCAGACACCATACAAGAACCATATGAAAACAAATTGCATTGATTGCCCAGATCTCTGGACACCCCCCCCCCCCACCAAATTTAGTCCTCCTGCTCCTACCTTCTTGGCCCACCATTCTGGACCTGGAACTTGTTCCCTTGTGTCAAATGGCACTGGTTAGCCCAGTTCCCTCAACATACCACACTGAGAAAATACTTGTATAAAACTATATGGAAACAGAGAGTCAGACACTACTGTTACATCATACACATTTCCATAGGTTCTTATGGTGTGACATAAAGGGCAAAGAGAATGTTGAATCCATGTTTATTGACATCTTCATCTTCTAAGTAACTATTTGCCTCAGTGCATCTTTTTACTACAACATTATACTATCAGAATTCCTTGCGCTGTGAAGGTAGAGAAATTAATACATCCTGGAAAACTCTCAAATTCCTAGGTCAGTTGGTAGCAAGAACCTTAGCCTGTTATTTTTCCAGCCCTCCTTGCCATCATATACATTATTTGCTCAGAGGCAAATATTTAAGTATAATTGCAAGGCAGTAGTGGAGTATTCCTTGGCATTAGAGGTAACTTCCACAAGGTGATTTTTCTTTTATTTAGAAGATGCAGTTGAGAGACCATTGTATTTGAACTAGTGATACCTGGGTCCAAATCTCTGCCTCACGATAAAGCTCACTGTATGTCCTTGAGCCCGTTGCTATTATTCAGTGTAATCTACTTTAAAGGATTGTTGTGAGGATAAAATAGGATAACTCTGTGTATGTCTCTCTGAAGACTTTGGAGAAAGGGCAGGATATAAATGGCATAAAACAGGAGTGTCAAACATAAAGCCTGGGGGCAGGAACCAGCCCGTCCAGGGCTCTTATCTGGCTCACAAGTAACTAGTGCAATGGAGGGAACATGAGGCTGCTGGGGGGGGGGGGGGAGGGGGGGGAGCCATTCCAGTTTTGGCTCCAGCATGGCAAAACCTCATCTGCAGCAGTCAAGCAGAACCCTTTTTCTTCAATGACAGCCTCACTGGTAAACTGGGAGCTGCTGCAGCTGCACTCTTGCTGGCTCAGGGTTCCAAGGTGAGGCTGCATGCCTCTCCACTCGGCCTGCAGCTCTGGGGATCAGCGTTTGCACATGGGGTGGCGTAGAGGAACCTCTACTGCGGCCTACTGGCAGCTAGAGCCACCGTCATATTCATGCCCATCCCATGCGGCAGCTTTGCTTTGGCCCATGGGGGTGTTCTTTGACAGTTTCTTCCACACACTGGGGGCCTAGTCCTGCTACCAAGCACACAGCTTGGAGGCCGGGCCTCCCTCCCCCATGGAACACCTAGGGGCCTTCAGCCATAGGTGGCTACCATCTTGTGGGGGGGGGGGCGGTTCTGGTCATCTCTGGCTATACTGGTCACTGGATTGCCTGGGGTCTCTGCCACACATGTGGCCTTGTGCATGCAGTGCCCAGTCCCCCATCAGATGATCCAGTGGCCTTCAGCCTGGGGTGGGTGCTGCCACATTAGCGTGGCGTGGCTTGCTGATGACCTCTGGTTTATGGATTACCAGGCAGCCTTGGCTGGAGGCAGCCACTGCTACATGAGCATCTCTGGGTTATTGGGCTTTGCTTGGCCTGTGTCCTGCTGTGCATTTGGCCTTATGGCTGAGCCATCACCCCCTCACTTCCATAGGCAGGGGTGGTGCTTGCAACACCTAGCCATTTGCGTTTTTACCCTGGGTCCCAGGCGCCCAACACTGGCAATGGGAGTGGTCTGTGAAAGGGCTTTGGCCCTTCCAGGCAGTGTGGGTGCGTCTGCCCAGTGCTGCACTGCTGGCTCTCCAATCTGCCTATGTGGGTTTTCCTCTGTACCCCCCAGCCTATGGGGCCTTGCAGTGAGGACACACCAACTCAGAGTTCACCAGCTGCTGTCCTTTATAAAGTCATTTTATGGCATTTTATGGCCCACCTGATAAAGTGACATTTATATCAGATCTGGCCCTTGTAACAAATGAGTTTGACACCACTGGCATAGAAGCTCCACAGTAAGATTAGTAGCTCTGTTTAGGACATTCATCATGCAAACACTAGGTAAGTCTAATTCAAAATTGTGCCTGTAAATTACATAAAATATACACATAAAATAAACACAGTGGCTTCTAGGGTTGCTCCCTCTGAATTGGGAAATCCCTAGAGAATTGGGGGTGGAGCTTGGGGATGGGGGTTGGGAAAGGGAGGGACCTCTATGGGGTATAATGCCATAGAATCCACCCTCCAGAGCACCATTTTCTCCCAGGCAACTGTAGTCTGGAGATCAGTTGTAATTCTGAGAAATCTCCAGGGCCCATCTGGAGGTTGGCAACCCTAGTGCCTTCAGTCCTGTGGTTTGCTGCAACCCCTTCTTCACGACAGCTTTTGTTTACTTGCTTGTACACCTTCATAAATGTGGAATCACATGCCGAATCTGGATGATACAATTGGCACCAAGTCATTCTTCTCTGAAAATTTTCTAAACAGTCTGCCTGCAAATGTCTCTTGCTTTATCAGTCATAATCCCTGACTCCAACCAACATTCATATATTGCACTTAAACTTAATTTAAATGTTAATTTCCGGTGAGCAGAGTGCTTTGCCTGAGATCTTTAAGGGCTCTCTTCATTATAATCCAAGGTCTAAATGGAGACCTACAGCACCATTTGCCCTTTTAAAATTAATGGATGTGGTTGTTTTGCAGTAATATCTTCAAGGTTGTTTTGGGTGTACATATACTAATCCACCGCTGTTTTTTTCATAAATATCTTTCATAAAGCTTAAATGATAGCTAAAAGAAAAAAAAAACTGTGAAGAAAGACCTATTGGCAAGCGCAAAGTTGGCTGCAACAAAAAATAGGCCATATCTGTTAAACTGTCTGGCAGTTAAAAGCTAAGGCTGCAATCTCATACAGAATTATGTGCTTTAGTCTATTAACTCTGTGTTGGCTTGTGGCCTAACTAAAAATTGGGTCATTCAGCATTTTTGTATAGGGTTCCAAGTAATACTTTCTACCATTTTTATATCATTCACTGTCACTTGTCACCCAGCGGTCTACCATTTCCAACGTAACTGTCTGTCAAATTGTTAAAAAATATGTGCTTCCGCCACAGCAGGCCTTAGAATCCCAGTTACTTTGCCTTTCTTGAAGGGAGGGATAAAACTCTGAGTTCCCCTAAAACTCACAGTAAAGGCTATCACAGTGAGAACTGCATTAATATGAATCCTGACAGGCCTCCTGCTATGATGGGAGGCTTCCCACCAACAGCTGTCATTGTCACCTGCTGCTTCAAGCAGCAGCAGCAGCAGGAGAAAATAACACATAGACATTGTGTATGCTACTATGGCACTTCCAAGGAAAACCAGGAAGTAACATCGAGCAAGTCTAGGAATCTCCAGTAACTCTATGGTAAAATGATAGAGTTTCTTGTGATTCCTAGAGCTATCCTACTTCACATCCGGGTTTTTCCTGGAATGCACACAATGTTATACCCCTCCATGTCCCTGCCCCTGAACCTCCCACCAGTTGCCAGGCATGGACTGGCAAACTGAAAAGTTTTGTAAGGTTCAGTGGGGTAGTTTGGGCCTTTGTAAAGTTATCTCTGTAATGATACTTCTTTCTATGAGTTCTTGGACTCTCTAATGTGCATTTTTTATTTCTGTTCTAGTTATAATACAGTTAATTTCTAGCTGGGCCTAGTAAATGGAAATATTGCTCCCTCCTTGTTCCATCACACAAGCCCCCTCTCCTAGTCTGGCCTCATGTTTATTTATTTGACTTTCATTCCATCTATCCTTTTATTAGGATCTCATCGTGCATTGTCCCTTCTTCCATTTTATCTTCAGAGACACAGTAAGGGTTAAGCTGAGAGGCAGTAACTTAGCCCAAAATAAACCAATTATGTTTATGCCATGAATCCTGAGTCTAACTGCTACACCACACTATTATACCCAGTCCTGACTGGGCACCACAGTTATGACAGACTCTGTGCTTTCTAGTTCCTGGCCATTGGTATTTCAGCATGGTGGTTGTGTTTCTGCATAATTTTTCATACTTCCTGAGCATTGTACAACCACTTAGTTTATAGGATACCTTTCAGCTGAAAGCCCCCAGAAATTACTTCCTTTTTCTCTCAATCCTGCTGTATCATGGTAACATCTCATAGGTTGTTACTGCCCCAACCCTCTTGAACTATCCATTAAGTTAAGGGGGTAGACTTGGACCAGTTCACATGAAGGAGAGTTTGTGATAACATGTGTCAATGTGCTTAAAAGACAATTTTCTCATTTCTTTGCACTGTGTTCATCCTGCCCCAGCCTCCTTCCACACATCAGATAGCAGCAATTGTATTTTGTAGGTACAATCAAGAAAGCGATAGCTGCATCACATTAATGAAGCATATGCAAAAATAAACAATTGTATGCCGCAAGTCTGCTTGACATTTGTGCCGTATCTCTGATTTTATGACATTTTACATAGCTTTGGTGATAAACATAATGTGATGCACTTGAGAGAGATTCATGAAAGCAGGAATCTAAAGAGCAGATAATCACTAGGAAACATTCGGAATGAATCAGCTCTCAGAAACCATTGTACAAAAAGTCTCAGGTTCACCACAGGCTGAGATATTTTTTTTTAAAGTGCAGATAGCCTTTTTTAAAATAAGAAAAAAGATATTTCAATCCTTATTACACAAGGAGTCATAGTCAATTGAGCCCTTAAATATTAAAAGAGTGTCATTTGAATAATGCTTACGGGCACATCCACGTATTTGGAAGCTGCCTTCACCTGAAACAGAAACAAGACAGGCTTCAGATTAAAATTTATGGCTTCAAATAGGCAAACAGTGCACGAACCGGAACCACAAATATCATGCCTGCAGTATTCATAGAAAATCAGAGGTGCTATCCTATACAGAATTTTTGACTGTATATTCATATGGCCCTGAATTGATTCTAATTAAGCAAACTGAACTGCTTACATTAAATTGTGGTACTTAGAAAAGCTTTTGTTACATGTGCTACTCAAATTCCCAGAAATGGACAGAGACCCAAACTGTACAGTTGCATTACCATGCTGTTAAAGAAGTCCTCTTTTTATGTCATACTTCTGGGGTGGGAGCTGCTACACCATGGCTCCTTTCCATGATCCTAAAGTAAAGTGACAAGTTCCAGGCGACGTGGTAGAAGCCTGAAACACTGATCCCCTGGACTCCTTCCGACTCACATTGCCTTGGTGGCAAGGAAAGGAGCTGCACTGTAGCAGCCACCAGAATAATGTAAGAAAGGGCCCTGAGTTCTTGGAATGGAGGACAGGGACTGCTATGACCGCGCAGTGTCTTGACATCAAACATTTGAAGTCTTTAAAACACCAGGAGTCAGTGTTGCTTCATAGCAAAGATATGGTGGTGCAGGTATGGCAGAAAAGAGAGGCGACAGAGAAAGAACTTGCCTGCTTGACATCTGGAAGATGTGTTGGCTACCGCTGGGGATTGTGATCACACAGTCCTAAACACCTAATACCTGGGAGTCATAGTTTGTCATGGAATTGCATCTGGCAGATACCCATACAGGACTGACTTGCCAGCATTATACCATTAAACTTCATATAATATATCTGTGTTAAGTGGCACGAAAACCCGTGCTGATATGTGTTTTGCACTTGTGCTCACAGACCTGTCCGCCATCCCTTCATACAAGTCCTTTCCCTCCCTCTTGCAAAAGAGTGGGGGTGGCACTGATAGGAAAAACCTAAAGGGAAACCATATCCTATATCTGAATATGTGGAACGCGGATAACATGGTGTAGGAAGAGTGACCCACCCCCAAGAGTGACCACCTGCCTGGCCATCCCTATACCTCCCCTCCTGCCAGATTTAAAGGGCTTCAGCTGATAGGTGGGGACCACTTGGCCCGCCAACCAGCTGAAGAGCCCTTAAATTTAGCAGGAGGGAGGGAGAGGGGTGGTCACGGGCTGCATGCTCAGCTTGCAAAAAGACCCCACCGATCAGCTGAAGCCCTTTAAATCGGGCAGGAGGGGAGGGAGATGGGTGGCCAGGCGAGTTGTCACTCTTGGGGGCAGGGCTTGGAGGTGGGACTTTCCCTGCTGGCCAGCTGCCTGGGGGCGGACTGAAGTCCCCAGAAGTGGGGGAACCCCCACTTGGACCTGGGGGCTGGCATCCCTATCATTATTTCAGCAGCACTACTTGCAGGGAAAGTGCAGCTCAAGAATGCAGCTGCAACCTGCAACAAGGGTTGCCAAATCTAAACATAATTTCAGTTCACTTCCAGGTGCAAACTGAAGAACATATACAGAAAACATGGATGTGTAAAACCAGAATGCAGACTGGTACCATATCTCATGAAAGTTCACCACGGTCTGTTTAGCAGCTGTGGCTTGCTCGAAGCCTTCCACCAACTTAAAGGGCCACTGAAGTTGGAGGAAGGTTTTGGACTTTGTTGACTGGACACACCTCATGATGTGCAAATTAGCAGTGAACCCATATAGACTGTTCATACATGCAGCTTCAAAAACAGATGCAATGATAATTAAAATAGCAGAGAGCAATCATGTAAGCAGTTCATTGCCAGTTCTCAAACTTTATTTCCCCCATGTGCTTCCATGTCTACAGACAAAATGGGATGGAGAAAAACAGAGCAACTGGCTTTCTTGTGTTATCTGGAACTGAGTCTTGCAATATTCTGATGTTCTCAGGACACTGTGATGTTAACAGTGCAATCCTGAGGACACTTTTCCAGGAGTAAGCTCCATTGAATGAGCCTAAGTAGTTTGCTGAGTAGACCTGCTTAGGATCGCTGTCACATTGTAAGACAGGAAAAGCAAAACCTTGATGAAGATGAAGGCAAACTGCAGATCCTGCAGTATATTTCAGAACCAAAAGCCCTCACATCTTTTCTGCTGCTCTTCTTGATAAAGAGACATAGATACGTAGATCCAGAAATTCATGGAATCTGCCACTTATTGCCAGCTGCAGAAACATACCAGTTGTCTTACTGAGCAGTTTCCAGATGGACAGAAAGACCCTTTTATAAAGGTACCATAATGTATCCCATCTGCAAGGCTGAGAATTTGTAATTAGATTACATCAACAATCACAATCCTTGTTTGGGTTCTAAAAGCTCACCTGCTTCTAAATATTTCTGATGCTACTGATAAAATAACCTAAACATCTCTCTCTCTCTCTCTCTCTCTCTCTCTCTCTCTCTCTCTCTCTCTCTCTCTCACACACACACACACACACACACACACACACAGAGTTACTGAAGAACTGAAAGAATTATTATATGTGAGACAGAATGTGTGAGTGGGTGGATGTTCTCTGATAATGTACGTGTGTGAACAATTAAGCAAAGAAAGGAGATACATCAGGCCATACTGGTGATGAGGGTTCAAATCAAACCCAGCATCAAGCATCACTATAACCAAGCTGCAGTGGAAAAAAAGGAATGGGGAAATGGTAACTGTTGTACACTTGTAAATCAACCTGCCAGGGCATGTTAGAATCAAAATGTGTTATAAGTAGCGTTACTAAGAAAAATACTTTTAATTTTTCTTTACTTAGTTTCTTCCTGAAATCCAAGAATCTGTTTCCCTCTTTTTAGGAATCTGGAGTCAGTTTCTAATTAATTCCATCTTGATTAAAGAGAAATTTGGAAAAAAAGAGGGCCAGGAAGGAAGGTTCAACAGTATTTCAGAATTTCACTCTTTAGATGCTCAGAGGCAGGGAGCCTCTTTTAAAAGAGAAAAAAATAACAAGAGGAATTAACGGATATCTAAACAAGTGAATTTCAAAAAAAGAAATTCACCTCTCAGTAACAACTCTATTTATAGGTGATTAGGGATGGGCACAGACTTGAGCCGAAGTCCGGGCTGGACTTTGCCCGGTTTGGGTTTGCGAACCTTGGTTCGTGAATGGCGCCTTCCCCTGAACACTCACCGAGCTTCTGCTCAGTTTGGGGTTCGGCACCCTGATGCATGCACACCACTTCCAGGTGGTGTCAGGCCCCGCCCTCAGTGCACCTGCATCACCCAGCTGCCTGACATGCTCGTGTCACTTCTGGGTGATGTGGGTGCACTGAGGCAGGGCCCAAAACTACCCAGAAGTGACTCAAGCATGTTGGGGGGGTGACATGCTTGTGTCACTTCTGGATGATGTGGGTGAGCCGGAGCGTTTTTTTGCTTGGGCATTCGATTCAGGGCTGTCCGGCTTGTGAGCCCTGAACCAAGATGGGCTTTCCCAGTCTGTGCCCATCCCTATATGTGATAATGTATATTGTACTCCAAAGAGATATAATGCATGACTGTGCAAAAAACCAGGAAATCAGAAAGCCTGAGGAGTATTTTGGATGTCCATGATTTAACAAATAATTTCTGCATGTGCAGGGATGCCACTGAGTGGTGGCAGGACATTTCCAGGGATTGCTGGATGAAATGGAGTGCTTGGCTCCTTTCCAAAAGTGTTTCCAAGCTTGGTTATGTGACTGAAACAGCTTTGATTGCCCTGGTGGATGACCTGCACCAAGAGATGGATGGGAGAGTACAACCCTGTTATCCTCCTAGATCTCTCAGTGGCTTTTGATACCACCAATCATAGTATCCTTCTGGACTGTCTTTTTGTGTTAGGACTGGGAAAGCACCATTTTGTGGAAGGTTTTAGTTATACTTGGAAGGTAGGTTTCAGCTGGTTGTGCTGGGGATTGCAGCTTGGTGCCTCTAATTTAGACAGCCATCTATGCTTATTTACTTGGGAGTAAATCATATTAAATTCAGTGGGACTAAAAAATAAAGATGCATGAGGCTGGCTTCTATGATAGAGCATGGGTCTATGAAAACCTTTAATTTAATATGTTTTCCACATTCCACATTCTCTTCTTACACACACACACACACACACACACACACACACACACACACACACACACCCTGAAGCCTTTTTTAAAAAAAAACATAACTGCCTGTTTTTCTTTAGTGTAAAATTTGGCTACAAGTATTGCAGTTTCCACACTACCAGGTGTTGAGTGATTTTATTTTCCTAGGCTGTAGCTCTTCGAGGATTGTTGTGACTTTTCCTATGAAATGTCTCATTTTTATAACAAAATATGTGCAGAACAAAAATAAGATTGCCAGAAACTTCTCCCAGGGGTAAAATATACTGCAGAGTTTTAATTAATATTGCAATAATTCTTTTTTCCCCCTGTTCAAAGAGAAGAGGCTCTCCAGATTAAATGGATCCTCAGCAGCTGTCATCAGCTTGGATGCAATTCATTTCATAGGCCTAGATAGTTATCTAATGACTGGACTGCCAGCTTCAAGAAACATTATTGACTGCAGAAAACATCTTTCATCTAACCAAATGCAGGACGATGTTCCATTTAGAGAAATCCAAGCAGTACTTTATAATGATGTGGTTAGTGAGAATGCTATTAGAACAACTGATGCATTAATTTTAAACTGAATTTCACAGCAAGAATTGAAAATGAGGATATCCTACTAGGTGATAAAACGACTTGTCATAAGACCCCTGGTGACATGTCATTTTCTAAAAGAGTGGACAATGCTTCATAAAAGAAGTTAGCAGAAGGCTGGTTGTTTTGAGATTTTTTTTTTTAAAAAATCTCTGACCACGTTTCAAAAATAACTTGGTCTTATAGCAGGAGTAGTAGTAAATTGATTAAAATAAGAATTAATTATACTGTTGTAGATGAAAGAAAACATCATAGTTCTAGATTATTACAGTGTAATTCTAAACAGAATTACACCCTTCTAAAT